TATATATATATATATATATATACACACACACACATCTGAAAAGCCTCCCATGTTCTGGAATAAGATTCTTTGGACTGATGAAACCAAGATTAACTTGTACCAGAATGATTGGAAGAGAAAAGTATGGCGAAAGAAAGGAACAGCTCATGATCAAAAGTATACCACGTCATGTGTCAAACATGGTGGAGGCAGTGTTATGGCATGGGCATGTATGGCTGCCAATGGAACGGGCTCACTGGTGTTTATTGATGATGTGGCTGCTGACAGAAGTAGCAAGATGAATTCTGAGGTGTATAGGGCTATACTCTCTGCTCACATTCAGCCAAATGCTACAAAACTGATAGGACGCCGCTTCACAGTGCAGGTGGCTAATGGCCCTAAACATACTGTGAAAGCAACTCAAGACTTTTTGAAGGCAAAGAAATGAAATATTTTTCAATGGCCAAGTCAGTCGCCTGATCTCAACCCAACAGAGCTGCTTTTCACTTACTGAAGACAAGACTGAAGGCAGAAAGACCCACAAACAAGCAGCAAATGAAGGTGGCTGCAGTGAAGGCCTGGCAAAGCATCTCCAGGGAGGAAACTCAGAATTTGAGTTTTGAGAACATGGACTCCAGACTTCAGGCAGTCATTGACTGCAAAGGATTTTCATCCAAGTATTAAAATTATGGTTATATTTACAATTATGTCACTTTGTCCAAATACCTCTGAGCCCCTGAAAATGAAGGTACTTTGTTGAAAATGGCTGTAATTCCTAAATGGTAAATGCCATATTTTTGTGGAACCTCTTAAAATAAAGCTGAAAGTCTACACTTTGATCACATCTTGATTGCTTTATTTCAAATCCATTGTGGTGGTGTATAAAGGCAAAATCACAAAAACTCTGTCATTGTCCAAATACTTTTGGACCTGACTGTATGTATATATATGTATATATATAGAAAAAAGAATTCTGTTGAATGTGAAAAGTTTACATATGCCTTGCAGAATCCTTTCCCCTTTCCAACAGTGGCTATATGATGTTGAGATCAATCTTTTCACACTGAGGACAATTAAGGGACTCGTACAGAACTATTACAAAAGGTGCAAACATTCACTGATGCTCAAGAAGGCAACACACTACATTAAGAGCCAGGGGGATGTAAACTTTTGAACAGGATGATCGGTGTTAATTGTTAGTATACAAAATAATATCGATTTACACTGATCCACAGAATTTTTTTTTTTTTAATTCACACTTTAGATTAGGAGCTATGGACATTACAGACGTTATAGGAGCACGTACTGAACACAGTGGACCTGTAGTATTTATTGATTTAATGAATTTTGATTGTAAACTTTTCCAAGTGCTTAGATATATTACAATATTTTTTTTTTAGGTATTTAATCTCCCACACACACTAAACAGGACGAGATCATGACTATGACCTTCTGTAAGACTATCACCCTCTATAAAAAAAACCAAACAAAGACAACAAAATAAAATATACTACATATCCTACACAAATAATTGGAAAATTCATTTGACATATTTTAATAAATAGCTCACAAACATGCCTAATTTGTTGTTTTCTTGTGGTTCATGAGTGCCAGTTTCTATTTAATTTATATATTTTTTGACCGATCATCTTTTTGATAATCAGGTTATCTTGATACATTGTTACGCTTGTGAAATTGCTGATAAATTTATCTCACAGCTGACTGATAGCTTGCAGTGAACTCCTGATAGCTAAGTCACTTCAGTTTAGTGACTAAGCAACCGTGTGGTAACACATGTTTTAACACAACTCATACATAAATATAGGGGAAGGACTGTAATATTATACCTTCATAATGTCAACAGAGGGAAGTCAAAAACAAAGTATGTTTTCTCTTTTTATTAACTTTTGACATTTTAGCTTGGTAACTTGATGAATGAGGAGTAGTGCTGGTGATAGCAGTGTCCAGTTTTCATGCTGATTTCAAAGCTGCATTTCAAAACACTGAAAGCATCCCAGTGTGGGTGTATTATGTCAAAAGCACTGACATAATCATAATCTCTTGAGATAAAAGAAACATTTGGAGACAAATTTATTCACATCATATATTGGAATTACAAGGATAAATGTGTGTAACCATGTGGCTGAGCTGCCTGTTAAAGATCTTAAAAGTGAAATTCAACGCTGTGAAAGTTTAAAACTTGGTACAGCTGTACCTCAATACCAGGTGCTAATTCTACATTACAAAATTGCAAAACTTAATTCAAAACGAAGTGCTTATTCAACATTGTAAATATTTATTACATAAATAAGTCTGTAGCTATTAAAACAACACTTTGTAATGCTTTTTAAAGAGCATTTACTCATTCATCTTCAGTAACTGTTTTATTCTGGTCAGGGTCATTGTGAATCCACAGCCTATCCTGGGAACACTGTTCATGAGGCAGGAATATACCCTGAATGGGATGCAAGGTGCCATGCAGACACACATTCACACCTACAGGCAATTTAGCATGCCTACTTCACCAAATGGCATGCTTTATGGTCGGTAGAAGGAAATCCACACAAACACAGGGAGGGCATATGAAACTCTACGCAAACAGTAACCTGAGCTCAGGATTGAACCCTGGAGCTGTGAGGGGGCAGCACCACTCACTGCGTTATCATGCCACCAAGTACTTCAACACTGGGTGTTAATTCACCATTACAAAATTCAATACTGCTAATTGAACACAAGCGTATACTGAACATTGTAGGGCTTTGTAAACCCTATAGGTGTTAATCCAACATGAGGAAATGCTCTTTTTAAAACATTGTAAGTTACTATAGAAATGATAACATGAGAATGAGTACATTAATAAAAACCTGAGATTTGTCTTGCAGTCAGAACTACTGTCAGAGCTACGACACCTTCTAACCAACTAAAAAAGTGAGAATTCAAACCCCCCAAAAAAAAAAAAAAAAAAAAAAAAAAAAAAAAAAAAAAAAAAAAAAGGACTTATGTGTAAATGCTTCCTTGGAACTAAAAGCCTATTTCGCCACCAGTTCATTTGGTATCTATATGACTATAAGACTGAGCTCAGCATGTATTCATTCATCATTTTCAGTAACTGTAACTATTCATCATTCAGTAACTGTAACATTCATCATTTTAACTAACTGTAACCTTAGGGTTGTGGTGGATCTGGAGTCTATCCAGGGAACAATGGCTGCAAGGCAGGAATACACTCCAGTCCACTGCAGTTAAGTTTACAGCTTAAGTACTGTAATTCAACACTGTATGCCTTCATTTAATTCTGTAGGTCTTAATTCAGCACTCTGTTAATTAAGATCAGCCCTGGGGATTCTAATGTGAAAATATCTAAATACATTTCGTTATATACAATCTCATGTCTTATAAATATTCTGCTCACTAGAAGTCATAGCACCATTCTGATTTCTCAGAGAAACCTGTTACGGTTTTCAAAGCACTCCTTCAGATTAACTTGCCAGATTTGTGGTTTAGACATTTAGACAAAAGTCTAACGTAGAGAAAGACATGGAGACAGAGCTGGAATGGTGTCAATGTCTCTGGGGAAAAATACTCAGACAGGAGCATGAGGATGTGGGTAAGCCAAAGATGATGCATGACTTACGCTTAAGGAAATTGGTGTTGTGAAAGAAGACACATTATTCAGAGTTTCTGGAGAAGAAGAAAATTAAAATTACAGTGTAGACTCACCTTGTAAAAGAGCTCAGAAATAGTTCAATATGTTGCGCACAGTGTTTGCTCAATTTAGTGTGAGGCATTTTAAAGCAGAATTTTCCCAGTAGGACTCTCCTCCTTTCCCAGAGCTTGTAATCTGCACACTTGGCTGGTGTGTGGCAAGACCAGCTGGAACTGCTCACATCAGTGGGACGAGAGGAAGAATGATTATTTGATTCGGATTTTTATTTTCTTTGTGGTTCCCAAGAATGTGTGCAGTCCCTAGTACACACTATCGTATTTTCCTTGTGATCAGCACAAAATGCCTTCCTTTTTAATTTTTAAATTATTATTTTTTTAATTTTGTCTTGAGGATGAACGTCTGGTCTGTGCTTTTTATGCTTTAAAAAGTCAGCTGATGTCACAGACGTCTGATTTTGAAGCTAACAAAAGAACTATAGGTACTAAAAATAATGAGCTAATTTAAAGATATTTATAATAATGGGATATTTTCCCTACTAATACCTAGTTCTATCTAAAACGTCTAAAACGGACAACTGGATAAACTGGACACAATACTTCAGGGGTAAACAACAGAAAAACAACTGTACATTTACTCAATACATATTGATACATATTGATATCACAATACTGCACAGTATAGGAAAAAGAAAATACATGACCATGAATGAAGTCTAGAGTAACAGAATGAGTTACCAAAATGACTGACTCAGTGCACCCACCAGAGCTGAGGATAAACAACTATGCAGTTCTTGGAAGCATGCATTAATAGACTTCCTGTAGGAAGGTAATCTAATCTTCATATAATCATCCTAGGGGACAACACAATCAATATGTCCAATATTGATGAAATAATTATAATTATTTAATATGTAGACTTGTGAAGAAAATGCATTCAGTCTAATAGTTGCAAATGCTTAAAATAATAGAAACCAGATGGCTGCTTGAGTAAGTTTCCATATGGGTCTCACTGATCTTGCAGGTGCTTTCTCTCACGTGTTTCACTGCAAATTTCTGTATGTTTCTCTTTCACACAAGGAAGTTAAGATGCTGAAATGGTCTAGTTCACTTTTTAGCACTGACCAAATGGTGGGTGTGCAATAATAATAATGATAATAATAAGGGTTTTCATGTGGCACAACAGAACAACATTTACCCCATTGTCAGGAGATTATTAGTTTGAATCCACAATCAGGAGTAGAGAGCATACTGACTGTGCTCTCTGAGTATGGCATTCCCTGTCAATTATTTACATTTAGACATCCTTATCCAGAACGACTTTATCTCATTTTATACAAAGCAGTTGAGGGTCTTGCTCGAGTGATGGGATTTGAACTCACAACCTTTTGCTTGGAAGTCCAACATTTTAAGCACTGAGCTACCACTATTTGATACAGATGCTGTTAACAATGGGGAAAATTATACATTTATGGCAAACACCATTATGCATTATTTTTATTTTATTTATTTTTTTATAAACACAACTGAGGATTAACAGCCCTTGCTCAAGGACCCAGCAGGGGCAACTTGGTGGCATTGGGATCTGACCTCATAACCTTCAGCACTCTAGTCTAATGTTTTAGCCACTGAGCTACCACTGCCCGTGCACAACAATATTAACCAATTGTAGATGTATGTGACCTCATGTATGCGGAAGAGTGCGGATAGCGCTTTCCTCCAAGAATGTTGCGCTGCCCTGTGACGTAATTTGTAAAAAATGTGGTGGATGGCTTCACCTGTCTCGGAGGAAGCATGTATTAGCCTCCCCCCGGCTGGTAGATGCCAATTGGCAAGATCATTGGGGAATAAATGGGGAAAAAAGTCTGTTTTTTTAAGACTTAGCAAATGCAATTGATCCAATCCAAGCATACATCTGAGCTGTTGTAGGTTGAGGGTGCAAAATTGGCAGTCTACAAATCCTAGGAACTGAACCCTACATTCTAGTCTCTAGCACGAAACCTAGAACCTTAGAACCATTAGGGTTCTTTGTTTTGTTCCTCTGCCACCCTTAAAGGTTTTAAATAGAACTCTACAACAGAAGGAGTACAAGAGGGATCCATGTAGACACCATTAGGAAGGGAAGAATCCTTAACCATTGTTTTTTCTTAGGTTTTCTGAATGATATTTTGTATTTTATTTCACAGATTTTTGTGTTACATAAGCTTGGTACGATGACTAGATCTTTACAATTATCGAAGAAAGAGCATCTGTGATAAAGACGTCAACTTATTTTCATAATTAGCTTCTTTCTTGCTATTAATTAGAGTGTCTGTGCTGAATTTATCACCAACTGCAAAATAAAGAACATTGTTTTTTTGTTGCTGTTGTTATTTTTTTGTTAAGAGATTTATCAATTTATTTTTTATGCCTTTTTCATCTGGTGGATCCGAGCTGTACAGGGCTATATAGTCGGTAGAGGTGACGTTTGGTCTACCAAGGTACCAATCAGAATGAGCCATCTGTTTACTCAGCTTTGCCCCACAGAAATTAAAGTGACTTCTTTCCTGCTCTCTTAGCCTCATTGTAAGCATTAACAGAGTGGCTGTGACTGTAATTATAACCATGATTGTAAAAAGCAGTATTTTTGCCCAATCAATAAAATGTTTTATAATGCTGATTATTTGAAACTTACACACGAGCACATTAAAAAGTCAAGACAATGCTTTTCTAGTTTGTATCACAAAATCGCTTAACCTTTTAAATACATATTCAAATTATATATACAAAGTTAAACTTGTAGAGTTTCACCTGTAAATCCCAGCTTAAATCAAATGATAGTAGTATTCAGTTAAATGGAAGGACAGTAAAGGGAAATTTAAACCTTTTTATGTGTCATTCCTACACACTTTACCAGCACTCACAGTGTTCCAAGAAAATACAGACAGGTGCCAAATTAAAGGAAAAGGCACCCAAAACTGTCTTAAACACTGAGTCTTTGGCTACCATGAACCTCCAGAACAGCTTCAAGTCTCTGGAACTGTACTAGAGAAATGTACACAATATTTCTGATATATATATATATATATATATATATATATATATATATATATATATATATATATATATATATATATATACAGTCAGGTCCATAAATATTGGGACATGCAACATTCTGAAACACTTCAGAATTCATCCTGCTGCTTTTGTCAGCAGTCACATCATCAATAAATACAAGAGAACCAGTTCCATTGGCAGCCATACATGCCCACTACCACCATGCTTCACTGATGAGGTGGTATGCTTAAGATCATGAGCAGTTCCTTTCCTTCTGCATACTCTTGTCTTCCCATCACTCTGGTACAAGTTGATCT